ATAGCCTAAGTGGGCCGGGTTACCCTAATTTGGAGTAGCCGTAGTCACGTGCCACGTGACTTCCCCGGATAACAGTATAAATTTTGGCAAAAAAAAAGCACTTAAGTCCGACGATTTACCAAATAAATAAGTAGCTGCGCAACGTTGTCGCGCAAAATCAGGAATGGGAGAAATCTATGCAGACACCATTTCGGTCACGGAAAACCATATTCTTCATTACAATCCATTCCTGATATAAGAAAATGACTCTTTATAAAAGAAGTCGATAGTACTTGCAATCTGAATATTGGTTTAAATTACAGTGGCTGAGCCTAAAAACCTATTGATGTCTGACTACTATATAGTTGGTTAGCTAGCGTCACTCAGTTCCGATGAAGCATACCATAAATGTGTACAAGGTTTGTCCTTCGTAAGATCACGTGATAGTTAGGAAACCACCCTGGAAGCCATCGGAATAAAATAATTTTATTGCAATTTTAAAAATAATAAATTTACATTTTCAATTAATTACAACTTAAAGATTACATTTAATTTTTTTTATTTTCAGCAATGTTATTCGATAAATTATGTGCTTTTTTTGAAGTTTTTTGCTTTTTGCATGCACCCATTATAGTTGAGTCAATATTTTTTTTAGATATTTTATGTTTCTTTGTTGAATGGATGTTGGTTGCATCTGAATCTTGGCCCTACTTCATATTGATTCAGCTTATGTGATGGAATTGCATTGATAGAAGTAAGAAGCAAACTTTTCATCTAACAAAGATTTAGTTTTTTTATAATTTTTTTTAAAATTTTCAAGATTTGCAAGTAATTGAATATTATTTTTTATATCATCTAGAATATAATAGGAAAAGTTTTTAAGCATTTCAACATGAACATTTATATTTTTGATGTTATTTGGATTATCATTGCCGACTAAACGTTTTAACATCACTATGTTTTGGGTTTATTATATGATAAAACTGATTTTAATACATATTGTAGTTAAAACTGATAAAAATGATAAAAATAAAAGCGATATAACTAGTGATAATTAGAGTAATAAACTATTACTATTATATTACGTATATAAAGGTTTACTGTATTATATAAAACTAATATCAAAACAAATGTTAATTTAACAAGTTACTTATTTCAACAAGTTATACTTATTTCAATATGTCAAATAATATTGACAATAATTTAAATCCTATTGACGATTGTTTAGCATCTTCTTCAATGAATAAAAAATCTAATCCTGGAGGTCGGCCTTGAGCTGAAGTATGAGATTTCTATACTATTGATGCAAAAAATAGAAAATATTATTCTATTCAATGCTAATATTGTTCTAAGTATTGGCAAAGAGGAATCCCATTCATAATGGAATCACATTTAGCTAACAAATGTTCTAATTGTCTACAAGAAAATCAAAATTATTGGCAAGATAAAATTAATAATCGAAATAATAATTATCAATGAACCTCTAAAACAAAAACAAAACATACAACACATGATACAAATAATTTAGAATCTTATTCTATTAACGGTAATCATCAAAATTCACTTGATCGTGCTGTATTAAAAGCTTGGGTTGGATGCGGTATATCATTTGACATTATTGATAACCCTTTTATGCAAGATTTACTTATGCAACTTAATCCTGCATATTACCCACCTGGACGTACGACATTATCTGGTCGAATTCTTGATAAGGAAATAATAAAAGTTAATAAGGAAATTTCTATGATTTTCGAAAGAAGTAATAATTTAACTTTAAGTAAGTAAAATAGATATACATATATATATATTTATTTATTTATTTATTTTATTATTATTAGTTTTAGATGGATGGTCTTCACCTTAAGGTTCATCAATCTATAATTATATTATTACTATGGTTGATCATAAAGAATACCTCGTAGCATTAAAAGACTATTCTAATAAGTCAAATACTGGAGAATTTCTAGCATCTGAAATCAATACAATAATAACTTTAATTGGTCTTAAAAAATTTGCTGCAGTTGTAACGGATTCTGAAGGTAATTGCAAAGTTGCACAAAGAATTACAAATCATGATTATCCACATATTTTAGATATAAAATGTATTGCACATCTAATTAATTTGATTACTGAAGATTTTACAAAAATTGCTCAAGTAAAAACATTTATAGAAACTTGTGATCATGTAATGAAATTCTTTAATAAATCATATTTACCTAATCGGTTAATTGAAGATGGAATTCGTGCAATGAAAATTAAAGGTGGCAGATTACAAACTTATACAAAAACAAGATAGTGCTATTTATGGAATACAACTAATTCACTATTACATTTACGACCAGTATTTAATTGGGTATTTATATCTATAATTACAGTATATCGATATTTATATTTTAATTAAATTAAATCTTCTAAATTTTTTTTTAATTTTTTTTAGATATTAACTAATTACGAATATAGTTTAACTAATAAATTTGTAAAGAATATGATTAATAATGATAATTTTTTTATAACATACTATTATATTAATCAAGTTATGCAGCCGATAAAAATATGTGTTGAAAGACTTGAAGCCCAAACTGCAACATTGGCAGATTGTTATATTAATATATTAAAATTGGCCGCGGCAATCTTTCAACTTTCAGAAGTAAATCCATTTAAATTACAAATAACAAAAATTTATAATATTCGATATGAAGAATTAAATCATAAAGCATATTTTTTAAGCTATTATTTACATCCGTTATATCATGGTAAGTAAATTTAAAAGTTACAGTTACATATATTACACATACAGTATATTAAATAATATAATATAATTAATTAATTATTAGAATATGGTCTCAAAAATCAAACATTTTGTTTAGCATGTCTTATAGCCAGTAACTATTGAAAAGCTCTTGGACATGATCAAGCAAAATGTATTAATTTATTAGTTGAATTTCGTAAATACATTCGTTATGAAGAACCTTACAATATAGAGTTTGATTCTCAAAGCGAATCGTCACTTACATGGTGGTTAACGCATAATATAAGATACCACACATGCCTAAAAGATTTGGCTGTTAAAATGTTTTCAATTATGCTATTACAAACAGCATATGAATGAAATTTCTCTATCCTGAAATGGTTTTATGAAGATTAAAGAAAATGTCTTACAATTAAGCGTATTAAATCTATAGCTAAATTGCGAATGTACTGGCTTTCAGAAATCCAGAAAGAACTTGAATATTATGGGAAAGATTTAACTGAAGAAGAATTATGGACCTGTGCTAATATGGCAACAATTCCAGTTTCGAAAGTTAATATATTTAATATAAATGACAACATATTCGATGATGACGAATCTTATATTATAAATTAACATACTAATTTTACTTTAGTGAATTCTGGTACATTTGTGGCTTCTGAGACAAAACTTAATATCAAAGATATAGCGGATCTTACATTATCTTTTTTTAATAACAATAACACAGAAACATATTGTAAAAACTTTAAACCACAATCTAAACCTACATCAAGCAAAGGTCACAAAAATATGGATTTTGAAGCATCGAATGTTGTTGATGAGGTCTTAGGACTTGAGGATGATAATAATCAGCTTTAAAAAACTATACAATATATGTAGCTTATATATTAAATGCTAATGTTATATACAATATATATGTTAAATGCTAAATATTAAAAAAATAATGCTCAAATAAATTTATAGTTTCTTGGTTCATAGTTTTATCGCATATATCAGAGGTTTATCAGTTTATATTTTGATAGTTTTTAAGTTTTAACATCAGCTTAAAAAATATAAACAGTATAAACCTATGATGTGGCTAGTTTATATTTTTATCAAGTTTTATCATGAGTATAGTCGGCATTTATAATTTGGATCACTTAATATATTAAATAATATTTTTAGTGAATAAAATTTTAAATAAATTATTGCAATACTTTTTTGTTATATTACTATATAAAAATATTATAATTATATACAGTAAGAGCATCTTTAACTAAGTTCTAAGAAGTATCTTGAATATCTTAAATAGGTTTTATAATTATTTGGCTATTCTCTATCATAAGAGATGCATAGAAAGATGCATAAAAGACAGGATCATTTGTAACAATTTCTTTTAATAAAAAAAGTAGAAATAAAATTAAATGATCTTTTATAATACTTAATTACAATAGCAGTTAATATTTGCATAATAACCTACCAAGTACAACAAAACATGTGCAAGTTCTAATTAATAAATCAATACTATAAAATTTGTTAGTAATTATTATACTTGGTACACTGTATATATTATTAATAGTATCATATTTAATTTCTTTCTGGTTTACTATTATTCAACCTGAACAAAAAAATTATTTTAATATTTCTAAATAACCTGGGTGCTTATTGGTAATATCTAATAATTGTTACTTATAAAAATGTTTCAAATTTGTTAAAATTGGTTAAAATATTTGGACAGTGTTATAGACTTGAGTTCTCTTAGAAATAATGTCTTTAATAATTTTAAAACTTTATTTCATATAATTATTAGTATAGTTGTTATGTAATAATAGACTTTTCTGATATGATAATACCTAAAATAATCATCATTCTCAAAGAAGCAAATAATGTAATACAAGTTGTTTATATTTGCTAAAATATTATTCTTTAAATTTTAAGAACTTTTCTTCTATTATTGGAATAGTAAATGTATATAAAATGGTCTTTAATAAGTTTATAATTATAATATGATCATCCTTATAAATTTAATAGTTTAAATCATGTGACCAGTGTTAAAAAGCTTGTAATACATGAAAGATGTATACCAAATGAGTACAATTTGGTTAACAAATTTTTAGAGCATTATGCTTAGCATATAAATTATTTATAATAATTACTTTAGAGCTAATTTAGAGACTATAATCATAAAAGGCATTAGTAGATAGAATTGTTTTAAATAAATTAAGAACATTTTTAATTATTATTTTAGTTTTATTTGATATTAAAAATATTCTTAAAGGAAAAGTACTAACTATACAACTTGTATAAAAAAGATAAATTAATATATTAAATAAATCAAATGCAGTAAATGCATTTAAGTAACAAAGTTTACCTAATTGATAAATTTTTTTATATATTCTTCTTATTAAGCTTGTTATGATATAAAGAATAAAAAATGTATGAATAGTAGTATTATGTACTTGAAGAATTGCTTTATCCTTATTTGAAGCATTGTATTAATTAACTATCTTTTATAATCAATTAAACATTTTTTTCCTATTTTGATCATTAAGTTTAGCATGCTAAAATTTAATATAAAGATATTACAAAAAACCTCTATCTGGATTTTTTAATTAATTAGTTAACAAATGCATAAGTTCATCATTATCAGTCACAAATAACTTTAATATATATGTCTTGCTAAAGCTGCTATATGTTCAATACTAAATAGGTCTATGTATTGTCTTTGTGCTTTTTCATTAACTGGTTGAAAACTAAAGAAGCAGCTAAATTTGACAAGTGGTTATGAATAAAATGGAGGTTGATTTCTAATGAATAAGAAGTTATAAGTTTGGATTTTTCTAATTTAAAATTAAGTATAGCTGTACAATTTGTATTTCTATTGCATATACTATTAGGATTTTTAACTTCATAATTTTTATTTTTTTGCTTTACAATGTTACTATAGATGAATAATGTGTTTTTTGGAAAATAACTTTGTATTCCTTAACTGAATAAGTTTAAGTAAGATGCATAGTTGTTTTTAAAATTTTTTGAAAATCATTTAATCAATTTATAGCACCTTCATTTATATTAATATTTATATATAAATTTATATAACCTGTTTAATATTCATATTTTTAATTATAATTATTGTTTTATATTTGATATAATTTTTAATTTTATAATTATAATTTAGCAAAAGGATTTGTTAAAGTAAAATTAATAAATCAGATAAATTTAATTTCTTTTTTTTGTATTTTTTTTTTTTATTTAGTTTTTTTTTGATTTGAATAATAAGTACAAAAAAAATAACAAATAAAAGTAAAATAATAAAGCAAAAAATAAGTGCAATATATAGAATCAGCTTTATTAAAGAAATTATTATCACTATCATTATCATTATGCTATATTATTAATATCATCGGGATTGATATATTAATGAACTGAAATCATTACCCGAACTATTACATGATCTTCTGGTGCAAAACCTTGTACACATTTACGGTATGCAGTATAAAATTATTTGGAATTATTTTGCATAGTAACTATTAGCACTTCTTTAAATATAGAAAACAAGTTTAAAATTAATAATACTATAATATATATCTCATTGCATAAATTTTGTATATTTTTTTATGTTTATATTAGAGTTGGCACTCGAAATGAAACCTACCCAAAACTAGTTTCAAAAGGTTCTAATCCAAAACTCTGAAACCCGAAACTCTGAAACTATAATCTGAAACTCCGAAACTATAATATAAAATTTTTTAAAATTATAAGTTATAAAATAAATTTATTTTAATAAAATGTTTAACAAAAATATATTTATATAAATAAATAAATAAT